AAGACGGGGGAGATGCTAAATCCCGATGCTCAAGTCTTTTATAATATGATAAAAGTATCCCACAAAGAGATTTAAACTAGTTGTGATAATTAGTCACAAGTTTTACCTAGATTATATTATTAACGGGTATAAGTTTTGCACACTAGAGAAGGGTTCGAAACTAGTGAGTTTCAATAGTTATGTGTACATTAAAGGAACCAATTATAGATCAACTAAGAGCGACTACTCGCAGGATATTGATGAAAATTCTATAACTAGGGAATCCCGCATTACTAATCAAGAGAATAGTGTTGTTTAAATACAATCGGTTCGATCCTAGACCGCTAGAAACAAAGGTTCATTCATAGTATAGATCGGTGGATGTTAACTATAGAAGAAGGTTGAGGAATTATGAACCTTTTGTCCTAGCATTACAGTCGACTCGGGTGACTCGAGTGTGTTATGTCGACTCTACTAGCATGAGGTATGACAATTAGGATTGGTGGGCTATTTATAAGATCAAAGCGAGGTTTGTGTTTGACTCCGCCTAAATCATTCATTGTAGTCTAATAAAATGCTAAACCATTTTAGAAGAATGATTTAGAAATCCGATACAATTTGATATAAAAAGTTAGGGACAATCTATTGCTAAATGATCCAAATAGATCGTTTGTAGATATAGAATTAATTGATGCTTATGATGAAGATAAGAATGAATATGAATCGCATCGGATAAAGGAGATGAAAACTTAAACTATGATTATGATGGTTGTAATTAAATGTATATTTTATTGGTTGTATTAGTTAGAAATGATATATTTTTTGTTGTTTTATTTGTTATAGTATATCATATTAACTTTGATACATTTTCAAAATATTGGTTGTGCATTTGATTGTGTTATGTTTTGAGCGAGGTTGTGTTATGTTTTGAGTAGGTTGTGTATCAAATAATTAGAAAATGTCCAATTTTCAAGAAAGACTCCTAAATTTTATTTTTTAAAGCTTACAATTGATAATATATTTGTTGTATCTTGTTTAATTATCTTAGATGGTATTATTCAGCTATAATGTGCGGTTCGCACCAACTTCTCATATCCTTTCGTGGATCACGATCCGGTAATCATGGATGTGCATACCCATTTAATGATAGTAGACATGGTTCCCCATCCAGCATCGAACATGGATCTCCCTCTTCATGCGCTCTCTATAGGTCTCACAATGTTGGACGCTCGTTTTATTCCTCTCTTAGAGTAAGTAGTTCCGCACTAGCTTTGACATCTCCCTCCACAATTGTTCCTTGATTATAAGGGCTTCCCCGATTGCTCGATCTTCTCCGGCTTCCTAAAAGGATCCCTCATTTGCTAATGTATCTTTTGATCCAGGGAGCTTCCGAGGCTTCGATATTTGACGATCGATTTTGGTCATTAATAGTCGGTAAGTAATTTTCTTAAAACATTGTAATTATATTTTTATTTTAATACATCATTTCTATAATTATTACATGTGTTTTTTTTTGTGGTGTTTGATAGTTCCTCTCCATGTCAAAGAGATTACTCTAAAAGAATAACCATGAATATCACGAAACGGTTGGACGTCGATGCCTCTATGTGGAAATCCATCTCGAAGTAGACAAAACGACTCTACTATAATGAGTTTAAGATAACACATTACTTATTTATTTATATTATATTTAAAAATATTAATTTAACATGAAATGAATTAATATTAAATTTTTTATTCATGTAGAACTATTTTTATTGGGATTTGACCATAGAGGCGTAAGCTAGAAATGCTTGGGAGGTTTTGTCTAGGAAGCACTACTCGACTACGTCCATACGTATGGCGTGAATCATGAAAGAACTTTTTTATTAGGTAAGAGGTATGGGATTCATGGAAGCAAGATTTTGCCACACTCGATTGCCAAGCACGTTCAAAATAGGCATCACATAATCGAATGTCAAAGACCGATGGTATTGGTTTAGGCCTATCCATGCATACGAAGGGTCCATCTCTACTTCGAGCACGTCCATCGCTTGGTAAATTTATCCTATATTATTCATTGTTTAAGAAATTGATATTTTTAGCTCATATATTATTTGTACCTATTTTTTTCAGGCTATCAAATTGGGACGTGAGCCTAATAATTTAGAGTTGTTTGGAGCCACTCACAAGTGGAGAGATGGGACTTTCATTGATTTACGAGCCTAGACAACAATGGTAAGTGTTTTTAATTTTTAAATTATATATATAATCCAAAAATTATTTAATTATTTAATATTATAATTATTTGGATTAAGCATGAGCATGTAGAGGAGCCGATACGGGAAGTTGTTAAGATACAAATGAGAGGCTGGAATTGAGGAGCCACGAGTCGACATGGATGCCATATACTTTAAAGCTATAGAAGGGAAGAAGAAGAAGAGGGCTTATAGGATCGGGTCGGAGGCATCGTAGTATTTATCCCATTCGACCAATGCCACTTCTTCCTCTCGTAGCATCACGGTTTCTCGATGATAATACTACTTATCGGACTCCCAATCGGTATGAAGAGAGGATGAGGGGAATGTAAGTGAGGTTAGATAAGTAGAATAACATTATCATGTAGCAACAAATGAACATTCAAGAGATGAAGACTCGGATTTTGTCAATTACGGTGACGTTACATAAGCCGGCATAGATGTCTTGCTTGCCTACTAACCCCTCCACTAATGACAACTCCACCATCCCTCCCACCGAGCTCTAAGACTCCACCGTCCCTCCCATCGAGCCTCGGGACTCCACCGTCCCTCCCAAGAAGCCCTAAGATGATGAGAGAGGATTAGATGATCATGATATACAATGACTTTTACATTTGCTTTTATGTTTTTACTCCTTTTCTTACGTACTAATGAATAATTTTTTTAATATGCATTTCAATTTAATTTATAATATTTTTATTTTAATAAAAAATTAATTTTTATAATAAGTTGTTTGTTTTAATTGCTAGTTATTACCAAGAAAATAAACAATTTTAAAATTATATAAAAAATTAAAAAAAAATTAAGATGGATTAACGATGGATTGGTGACGAAAATGAAGATAACAAATTAATTTCTTTTGAAAAAACAACAATGGAAAAAAATTATCACTAGTTAACGACAAACTAGCGATGGAATTGCAACCAACATTAGTATCGGATCATTGTGATGGTATTTTGATCGTTATTTAGCAATGGAATTGAAATGCGTTTGTGACGAAATTGCGACGTATTATATGATAAAAAACGATGGTTGTGTTGTAAACTTAACGACCAAATAAAACAAATTAGTGACGAAAACCGTTTATTCCATCACAGAGGTTAGCAACCAACCTTTTGGCAATGGATTCTTTCCAAATCTGTCACTAAATTGATTGAGCGATGAATTTTTCTTAAATAACGACGGAATTATCTCGTCGCTATTATGCTATTTTCTTGTAGTGGTTGGTAGGATTTGATAATGTCTTAAGAAACGTCTTCCAATTTTTTGTAATGTTTTTTTAATTAAAACATATATGTAATTTCTATATATTTTTGGTTTTATTTTTGTTAATTTCAATTGTTTTATTTTTTTCCTTACTTATTGGATAATATTGATACATTTCATAAAATTTAAGGATAAAATTAAAATTTATGCACCTAACGAAAATGGATGAAGGAGGAAAATCGAAACAAAAGTAAAAGATGTGGAAGCTAATTGAAAAAAAAAGGTCTAATTGAAACAAATCAAAGGTTTTAAATGAAATTGAAACAACATATAAACTTTAGGAAAGCAAATTGAAATTTACCCTTTTTTGTTTGTAGTTTAGGAAATGTAAAGCTAAGGTAATGTATACTTTAAAAAATTAATTAGTTTCCATCTAATTTTCTTGTTTATTTTAAAAAGATTTTTGCATGAAAAAATAATGAATTATGTTTATTAAATATACGTTTTTCAAAATAAAGAATAAGAGTCTTTTTTTGTTTGCATTGAAATAAGAGAAGAAATAGACATAAAAAATAAATAAACAAAAAAAAACCTTATTTTTATAGTGGAGAATTTAAAAAAAAAAAAGAATATCCCAAATTTACCCTTACATTTGTGTTAATTATTCATTTATACCTTTATATATTTAATTTGGTCAATTACCTTTTATGTTTTCTGAATTCGTTCAATTAATTCATGTGTTCTTTAAAGCTGCTCAATTAATCTAATAACTAATTTCTATCAAGTTTCAATGTTATCTATGTAGTATTATTAAATATTTTTATAGTAATAGATAAATAAAATTGTAAAGAAGGCCATAAATAAAGTTGTAAAGAAAGATAAAACGTAAAGTTAGGGGAAAAAAGAGTATAAAGATAAAGGATAAAGGTAAAAGTTTAAAACATAAATCTATAGAAAAAAATACGGTATATTGGGTATGAAAAAAATTATAATGAGAATACTTCTCTATTTATAAAGAATATTAAATTTAATGACCAAATAAACCTGTCTAATCCGTTAATACTAATCTAAAATAGAACTCCTATTATAATAGTTTTTTTCCTAAATAACAAAAGACAATAAAAGTAAAACAAAAAGCCTGGTCATGAGCGTAAGCCCATATTGCCGCTGCTGCCATTTCTATTCTCGCAACAATTCAATCGTTATTGCCTTTTCATTTTTTTATTACCGGTTTTCAAGTTGCTCAAGATGTCACACGACTCATAACGTGCACAAATGTGTAGGCAAACCGAACGCTCCTAAAATTCTTTTGATCTAGTGAAAGTTTGACAACTTTGAAGGGTGTTATTTCTCTGATTCAAGGGGCTTTCAGGATTCACTATCAAAAAAATAATAATAAAAATAAATAAATAAAAACCCTTCGGGATCAAAGCGATATCCTATTTATAAACTATGTCAAGTTTGGGTATATTTTCCACCAGTGAGCATATTTTTCTTGTAGGCAATTACAATTATCAATTTGCCTAGGAAGACTTGCTAATTAATTAGAAAAGAAAAAGGGCATAAAGCCAACAGACTCTAAGCCCAATGGCTGGCAAGCCATAATGGCATTAGCGTCCGGACAAGGACACATGTGGGTATTCTCTCTTTCTCGAGGATATTGTCTTGAGCATCACCAACAAGCTCCTTGCATTCTTGTGGTGGGGGTCTTTGATCTCTGGAATAGTCAGGGCCAAAGAAGATTTGTGGTGGTGATTCTGCAGATTTCACACCTGTCTCGCTCCCTGGGGTTCTACCTTCTGCACTTTCCCAGAAAAGGCCATACAATAATATTGTACTCTTTTATAGGACTGTGCCCTTAGTTTGAAGCCGTGTGGGTCCATCCTGATACACGCTGCCCTCTCATATTTCCATTCTCAAATATCAACTCAGACATAAATCTTATTAATAAATCAATTTTTATACTGCTAATTGTTTTGTTATAGTGACATTTCTTAACCTGTAAAACATGCACTTAGGCTCATTTGATGATACACTAGAAAAGATTATTTGCAGTTAATGAGGCTGTTTCATTGGGTTGATAATAAAAGGGCCAACCTTTTAATATATATATATATATATATATATATATATATATATATATATAACTGGAATTGTTATCTTTGACTTAACAATGGTAGCATTCTGGTCTTTATACCACTGGAGTACATTGATTAACCAGTTTTCGACGCTACATTATAGGTGGGATAGAATAAAACCTATTCAAAATTTTATGATTTTTAATTAAAATTTTATATTTAATTAATTTTTTTAATGTTTTTCATAATTTTTCTACATAAAAAATGATTCATTCTTTTTTATACGTTAATTTTTAAATAAAAACTTATAACAATTTAAACTAAATATTAATCTACAATTAAAAAAACTTTAAAAATATTTTTTATGTATAGAATTTTATCCAAACAAAAAAACTATAATTAATGTATAGATTTGTAGAAAAATTAACAAATGAAAAAAATAAATTTTTATTCTTATCCTATGCTGATGAGAAGCTTATTTTTTGAAAATATATATATTTGATTTATATATATTTATTTATAAAATAATCAATGATGTTAGTATAAAAAATATATTTGAATGATTTAATGATTCCTTTAAAAATTATTTCAATCATTTTATTTCAAAGAAATTAGTTTTATAATATTTAAAAGTAATAACAAATGCTCAATGTTATGTGTGTACATACTTAGTGAATTTTCAATAAAATTAATTATTTAATATTTTTTTAATAAATCATAACTATGTTTAGTGGATTGATAGTGTGCAACATAAAATAACAAATACAAAAAAAAAAAAAAAAATCTCAAACAAATTATTTGATACATATCATATATAATTCATCTTCACTAGATTCCACAAGAAACCAAAAAAAAAAAAAAAAATCAATCTTTTATAATTTTTTTGAGTAAAAATATAATTTAATCCCTTTCCTTACGAGAAATGAATTTTTTAGTACCTTGGTTTTAAAAACTAATCGTTTAATTCCCCACATTAACATTCTTGACGTAACCGTCTAATTTATATTTAATACAAAAAATATCCCTTGAATATATAAACTCATCTCGAAATGAAACAAACACACATTTTCATCTCCCTCGTTATCTCCATCACAAACATGAAACAAAAACATTCTTTCATCTTCCAAAAATTCTTGCATTTAATCTTCATGCCTATTTTTATCCTTGTTTGATCTTCATAGTTGTTTATGTCCTTGTCCACGGTTTTGTGGTTATCATGCTCTCTCTCAATCTCTCTCAATCTTTTTGTTTTTCTCTCTAAGTTGTTCTTGCTCGGTTTACATAGTAACAAGCCTCTTTTTCAATCGCATAATCAAAACTTTAGCTAACTTATTAAGGTTAGTTTAAACTTTCCTTTGTTAGTTGTGGATTGTTAAATATGGGTTGTTAGTTAGGTTTTTCCATATGTTTTAGGGAATGAGTTTCGAAAAATGAAATGGGGTTTTATGTAGTACCATATCATGAAGATGGATTTTAACATGGATTTAGGAAATGCGAAATACTTTGATGTGGATACGGAAAGGAATTGTTACTCGAATTTACTAATGATTTGTACAAGTATTTCTCTACTCGCTCTAACTTTGTCAATATAGTTTTTGGTTGTGGAAGACCGATTGTAACCGATAAGGATTTGATTAGTGTCTTTATAGTGACTTGGACCTTAAGAGGTGTTAATACACATAAAAGACAATAACATTGGTATTCCATTATGTGTGATATCACCCAAAAGACAAAGGCGTTTACCTATAGGGATAAACAGGTATAATTTATTGAAGGAGTTAAGTGAGACTTTAGACCTGAGGGCTCTTACAAGGTAGAATGTCAATGAAGTAGATGTGAATGATGGTGGAAATATCAATGTTGAAGGTGTGAATATAAAGGGGGTTGATATGAATACCGATACTATTGATGTTAAAGACTATGAGGAGAATGTAGATATGAAAATAGGTGTTGAAAATGTCAATATTGATTGAGCGAGATGTTAGAGAAATAATGGAGCAAGTTTCTAAAATTATTAAAAGGGAAGACCAAAAGGTTCTAGAGGAATTAGATGAAGGGGTTCAGTGGGTATAAATGTTAGAAAATAGAGTGGAAATACAAATATAGAGGCACATCCCAACTCAACTAATGCTAATAAAAGCAAAAGACATATAAGAAAGCAATTTTTTAATGAAGAATATGAGTTTTTTTTCTCTATAAAGACTATGACTTTAGTGATAATAGTGAGGATGAAGATTGGATTGTGAATGATAATGAGTTAGATAAAGATAGTAGCTCCGGAAAGAGTGATGTTGAGATCCCAAATATGTTGAAAATGAAGATGTTGATGCAAAGTTTATTGATTATGGATCAAATAATTCTGCGATAATGTAAGCTTTAAAGATGAAAAATTTGGTGAAAACCCCTATAAATCCATTGAAAAGCTACAATACACGAGAGGTTTAAAGAACCAAGATCCGATGAGGTGTTTCATTTTGTGGTTGGTCATATCTTTAAGGATAAAGATGAATGTAGACATGCATTAAAGACTTATGCAATTTATGATGGCTATCCAATTTGTTAAAAAAAGAATCATGAGGTTGGTTTGGTTGCTTTATTGTGAAGAAGATGGCTATGAATTAAAGTTTTATGCATCACAAACACTTGATAATAAATCCTTCATAGTGAAAGCCTTGAATGATAAGTACATTTATGTAACTAAGTGGGCGAGTGTAATGATAATGTTAACTCAAAGTGGATTAAGAAGGAATTAGCGGAATATTTAATGAGGGATCCGGATATGAGTTTTGATATTATGAAAAGCTTATTTGCTAAATGAAAGGCTAATCCAAATGATTGGCAATTACATAGGATCAAGTTACAAGTAAAATTGGCCAATAAAGGCACACATGGAGAATCATTTTACTACCTAAAAAGATACATTGAACTACTATAATACATAAACCCAAGTACATTTATTGCTATTAAATACGTATAATAATATATATCTCCCGGTCGAGCCCATAGTTTAAAAGGGTATTCATTTGCTTACGGGGGATGAAAGTAGGCCTTTTAGAAATAGGAATGCCTTTTATTGGAATAGATGGTTGTCATTTAAAAGGAATATATGGTCAAGTACTTTTATGCGTGGTAGGACTTGATGGAAACAAATGTCTTTTTCTCATTGCGTTTGCTATTATTAAAAGTGAGTCCAATGAATCTTGGTCGTTCTTTTTAAAATATTCAAAGATATGTATTGATTTAGGAAATGATACAAGGCCTTGGACTTTTAAGATAGATAGATAGAAGGTATGTACTAAAAAAGAATTATTTCAATATTTATGTTTGTTTTTTTCTTTATTAAAATCTATTACACAAGTACGGATAATTTTTTTTCTTTTATGCATAAATAGGTACTAATTAATGTAGTTGATCAAGTATTTCCTAATGCAATTAATCAATCTATTATAGACATTTGGTCATAAATTTTTGGATTAAGTTTGGGTTTTTATCTTTATTGAAGATTGACTTTTAGGCTATTTATAGAGCAACTTGTCCATTCTAGTTCAAAAAACTAATGCAAAAATTTGAAAAAGATTTGAAAGGGGCAATTGATTGAATGATGAGATGAGTTTCATCTTAGTGGTCAAGATATGCTTTTAGCAAGACTCAAAAAATGATCATTTGACTAATAACATGTCAGAATCATTCAATAACTAGGTTGGAAAGATCGGACACCTTTCAATTGTTCCAGAGTTGGACATGATTAGGTAGAAACTAATGGTTAAAATACAAGTTAGATATGATCAAGAAACTACGTAGGAAGGAAGGGTCTAACAAAAAATGAAACAACAACTTGTCAAAATTTACATTATCTTCAAAGTCTTTGAAAATTTTCATGGGAAAGAATGATGAGTATGATTGGAGAAAGGAGAGTACAAATATACGGTGAATATGAAGAACAAGTTTTGTAGTTGTAAAGGGTGGAAAAAGAGTACGCTGCCATGTAAGCATGTAGCTTCGGTTATTGGCTATAAAAATTAAAATTTGGAGGATTATCCCGATGAGTCATTTATAGTTGATGTATATCTTAAAATGTATAAATACACAATTCTTTTGATACCTCAAGAGAATTTGGCATTAACTAAACCAACCAAGAAGATTCTACCTCCAACCTTTCTCAAAAACTTTGGTAGACCAAAAAAAGAATAAGATAAAAAAAACGAGGAGAGGCAACATTAGGGAAGGATAAAGGAATTAAATCATGTACGAGTGAGGTGTAAAAATTGTAAACAACTTGGCCATAACAAAAAACTTGTCCAAAAAGAGAAAGAGGTTCTAAAAGTAGAATAATAAGATAATTTGCATTTATTTCTTTCATATTTATTTGATACAACATGAATTATCGATTTATAAATTTTATGTTGGTTTTGTAAGGAACACAAAATAGATGAAGGAGTAGTGTTTCAACACAACATTAATACAAAATGGTAATGAAACACTTTAAACATGATGAATTATTTAATGAATTAATTGATAATATTATCTCTTTGTTGTAATTTAGGAACACATAACAAACATGATCGTGCAATCTGGTTCAATGGTGATGAGATCAACATTTTGGTATAACATTTTGATAGTGATGGGATTAATATTTTAGAAGTTGGTTCAATGGGTATGGGACGAACATTTTGGATTTTGTTGTATTTTGGATAATTACGTAATCGGCTTGCTTTGTTATCTATTAACTTTTGATTAAAGTATTCAAGGGTTTGCATTTGATAATTAGGATACTTTTTGTGTTGTTGTTTAGATTAGAATACTTA